CCACATTACACCGGTTTTAAAATCGCTGCATTGGCTCCCCGTGTGTTTCAGGATCGATTTTAAGGTTCTTTTAATGGTTTTTAAATGTCTTAATGGTCTTGGGCCTTCTTATCTTTCAGAACTGCTTTTATCCTATGAACCCTCCCGGCCCCTGCGCTCCTCCGGCAGCAGACTCCTAACCATCCCCAAAGTCAGGACACACACTCACACAGACACACACTCACACAGACACACACTCACGCCGAGGCATCTTTCCAGCACTACGGCCCCCGTCTCTGGAACAGTCTGAGGAGGAGCTCAGGGCCAAAGAGAACATTCATATTTTTAAGAGTAGGCTCAAGACGCACCTTTTTAGAGTAGCTTTTGATTAGTATTTATTATTTATTATTGCTTTTTAATACATCTATTTATGTTTTTAGACACATTCTATTTTTATTTATTTTTATTATTTACTATTTTTAATTATTTATTGTATCTACCCATTTACTATTGTTATTATCAATATTAGGTGCTATTTTTATTTTTAGTGTCTCATTTTATTGTTCTACTTTCTATTGTATTATTGTATTGTTTTAGTGTCCCCAGTGTTTCCTCTGGAGGAGCCCTCTGCACTGAGAGCTGGGGTCTGCTGTGGCTTCGGGGGACTGGCTCTTGGACCCAGTGGAGTGAGAAATGGTGTCAAAAGCTGCAGTGAGGTCCAGAAGGATGAGGATGGAGAGTAAACCGGAGTCAGAGGCTATGAGGAGATCGTTAGTGATTTTTAGAAGAGCTGTTTCGGTGCTGTGGAGGGGACGGAAACCAGACTGAAATTGTTCGTAGATGTTGTTGGTGGTGAGGTGGTTGTGGAGTTGAGCAGCGACAGATTTTTCAAGTATTTTGGAGATGAAGGGAAGGTTTGAGATGGGACGGAGGTTGTTGAAGTTGGTTGGATCCAGGCCAGGTTTTTTGAGAATGGGTGAGACTGAGGCGGTTTTGAATGAGAGAGGGACAGTACCAGAAGTGAGAGATGAATGAATGATATTAGTGATGAGGGGGGCAGCTGAGGGGAGGCAGGATTTGACCAGAACGGTAGGGAGAGGGTCGAGCTGAGAGGTAGAAGGTTTGGATTTAATGATAAAAGTCGGAGATGGCTTGGACGGAGGGCAAGATGAAGCTGGAGAATGTGGCTATGAGGGATGAGTAGGGGGCTGGGGGGGTCCACTCCAGAGACTGCAGCTCCATGTGGGGTCAGGTGTTGGTGAATGTCAGAGATCTTGCAGGTAAAGAAGGACATGAGTGAGTTACAGAAGTCAGTGGATTGCATATGGTGAGGGAGGGAGTCAGGGGGTTTGGTTATATTGGTGAGAAGAGAGAAGAGAGTTTTGGAGTTTTGATGATTGGAGTGGATTAAACCGGAGTAGTAGGTGGATTTGGCAGCAGAGAGATGGTCCTTGTATAGCATGATGTGGTTATTGTACATTTGTTTGTGAATGGTGAGTCCCAGTTTTATTGAAGAGCCGTTCAAGTTGACGTCCTTGGGATTTGAGCTGACGGAGGGCAGGGGTGAACCAGGGTGCTGAGAGCGTGAAAGAGACGGGTCGGGTTTTGAGAGGAGCATGATTGTTCAGGAGGTTATGGAGAGAAGTGTTGTAGTGGGAGACCAGGTCATCGGGGGAGTCATTGGGATCAGTAGTGGGGAGGTTATTGATATCTGAGGCGAAGGTGGCAGTGTTTATGTCCTGAATTTTACGGAAAGAAATGGTTCGGGGAAGGATGGTCTTGGAGAGGGTGAGGTTGATATTGAAGGTGATGAGCTTATGGTCTGTGTATGGGAGTGTGTGAGGTTTACAGTCAGTGGGAGTGAGACCAGAGCAGCAGATTAAATCCAAAATGTGACCTTTAGTGTGGGTGGGGAAATGAATGTGTTGTTGTAAACCAAAACTATCTAAACAGGAGGAGAAGTCTTTGGTGAGAGGGTTGCTATTATTGTCCATGTGAATGTTGAAGTCCCCAAGTATGACTGCGTTATGAGAGATAGATGAGAAGTGTGTTAGAAGGTGAGAAAAGTCATCTAAAAAGTCCTTATTAAGTTTTGGCGGGCGGTAGATGGTGGCAACAACAGTAGGAGAAGGTCCAGGCAGCAGTGAGGCAGAGTACTCGAAGGAGGAGAAGACAGGGGCAGCAGGCACAGGTGTGACTTTCCAAGTCTCGCGGTGAAGCATCGCGAGACCTCCGCCCCGGCGGCCACAGCTGCGGGGCTGGCAGATGTAAACAAACCCCGGTGGAGTGGAGTCGTTCAACGCGGCAAAGTCATTTGGCTGCTGCCAGGTTTCGGTCAAACACAAGAAGTCCAGCTTACGGTCGACGAGGACATCCCGGACCAGATGGCCCTTGGTGTTGAGGGAGCGCACGTTGAGGAGACCGAAGCTGACGGTGGTGGAGCTGTTCTTGGCTGCCGCGGGCTGAGCCGATCGGGCCACGCTGACCAGGACACTGTCAGCGTCCCGACCAGCGGTGCGGGAGCAGCGGCGAGTGGTGGACCAGAGGGACTTTATTGAATGGGAGTCCTTGTATTGGAGCTTACGGCGTGATCCACGGTGAACGTACCGCCGCCGGGGCTGGAAGGCGATGCCCGGGGGGATGTCATGTCCGCGCTCCGGTGGCTGAAGAGGAGCGGGGACGTGGTGCCGAAGTTTTAAAAGTTCAGCAGCGGAGTACTGGAGGAGAGCATTGGCCTGCAGATGGACCAGGGACACGATGAGCCAGATGACAACAAGCCAGCGCGTTATATGGCAGACACACATCGTTTCCCAGGAGGGGAATACGACAGCCAGGGGTCCCAGGTATGAATATGTCCAAAATGCTTATGACAACAGCAAACTGTGGTTGATATCGAAAGCAGGTAAACAATCCTTAAAACACAACGTAACCACGACATCCAATATTGCGTAAACAATGTTTTAGTCCGTGTTTGTTCTGTGAGCAGCGGCTGCCAAAGCGCGCCAGCGTTCACTCACTGAACTCTCGCGAACTCATTCGGGGGATTTACTGTGTGAAACACAGTAAATCAAAATGCTGTATTGCACACGCCAGTTCCTGACACAGATCTCCCCCTCTGCTTTCTTCCCAGCAACTCGGGCTACTAATCTGTATATTAAAATAATAATCTTAAAGAGTAATCATATAGTTTTTTTAACCAGTAAACTCCCAATCATGACAATTTTTATCAAACAAAAACTAACTAACTAACAACAGTGAGACCATGCTTGCTAGCTTAAATACACTGGCTTTTTCAAAGTGCGATAACTCGACAAAAAAACGCTATTTCACACATTTACATTAAACATAAACATTGGCAAGTGCCTTATAAATCATGAACAACAAAAAGAATCGACCTACATCAACTTTATATGAAATATTTTATAACTTGAATCACGAGATTTTACTGCTTACCTTCCCTCTGCTTTCTTCCCAGCAACTGAAGGGGAAGCCCGCGAACCCACAGGAAGTGGCGACACCGCCAAAATAAAAGCCTCGATTTAAAAATATACAGAAATAAACTTAAATAAAATACCAGTAAATACTAACAAAAAATATGATTTTGGTGAAATTGACAACACTCAGACCACATGGGCTACATCTATATATATATATATATATATATGTAGGATAACTACTTATATTGCTGATTATGTTATTATAGTATAAATTTGGTAGTGTGGGTCTGCTTTATATTTATTTTGGCACCAGCAGTGTGTGTGTGACACACGGCACAGACCAACCAAATCTTTGCCTCGATCAGTCTTATGAATCTAATAGGTAGTGAATACTTTTATCTGCCAGGGATATTCCGAGATCTAACAACACGACTCTGATAGGATTGAGTTAAAGAAAAGGGGTTTTATTGATTACAAAAATGAAGATAAAAATATAACGAAGGGGATTTCTGGTCACATTAAAAGCAGGAGTTTGTACACATTTCATTCGAATCACACATTTAACAAGAACAGTCTTACTTTGTAGGAGCGTAGAGGATGGAGAAAGGATTTGGGTTGGGGAATCAGCCCACGTGGTTTCTTTGTCTGGGCAGGCGGGAGGTACGAAGCCAGTGAGTTGGTCCAGCTGCTGATCCACGCGTATACAGCCCAGTCCGGAATGGGTTGCGCGCGTAGAGTCCAGAGCCAAGAAAAAGAGGCTGGTGATGGAACAGTTCATAAGGTCCCGAGCCAGAGGAGAGGGTTGTGTTGCGGAGTAGAAGGCCCGATGCGTGCAGGCGCGGCCGTAGTAGGAGACACGTGCCGCGGGACGCAGATGGGCAGGGAGAGCTGGAATAGTGATTTCAGGAGAAGACAAGAGGCAGTCTCTAGGTTTGCGGGCTGGTTTTGTTGTGGTCAAAGTGGGCGCGCCCGTGACGTCATATTTGCGCGTCTTCCTTGGGCCGCCTTCCCACAACAAATGGGTTATAGTGGGAACACACAGGATTAATACAGATGATCATAACACATGTACAAACACACAGTGCATTTACACCACAGACATCAACACACACGAGTAAGGTCCGTAACGTTATCGACATAATATTACAGAGTAATGTCCATAATATTACAGAGTAATGTCCTGTAATGCAGTAGTGTCCAGTGTCCGCTAGGGAGCGCCAGAGCGCCGTGGGAGAGTCTCAGGTTGTGGAATGTCTCATGAGCGATTGCTGATGAATGATTCCTGATCTCCGTCTGGCAGGGGGCACACAGATGTCCTGTTCTGTTGTTTTATTGCCCCTCTGGGTCTCGTTGTAGTGTTCCTGGTGAATGTTAACCTTCAATTGAACCCGCAGTTGCTTTGAAGTCTCAGGAGCTAGGGAGGGCATGTTTACGGAAAGGGTCTGTTATTCACACCCGATTGGCGCTCACCTTTTCCTCACCCTACATATATATATATATATATATATATATATATATATATACGTAGTTTGCAAAGTGTATTCTCTGTAAGTTCTCAACAATTCTGTTCTGACTGTGTTTCAGTGTCACCTCGTGCTGGCTCTTTGCAGTGCTACGGCTGCAACATATACGACAATTTCTGTACTGCCAATGTGACCTGCAAGGAACATGAGACCTGCTTCCAATCATGTAACTTCCATTTGTCAAAGCAAAGTCATGTTTGTGTCTGATCATGTCGAAACTAAGAGTTGATATGTGTCAGGCTACTTAATATCACTTAACACTTTGGATGAGCAGATAAGTGTGGCCATAATTCCAGAGACATGGAATTCCAAGTATAACACAACATTCAGTACAGACCAAAAGTTTGGACACACCTTCTCATTCAAAGAGTTTTCTTTATTTTAATGATTATGAAAATTGTAGATTCACACTGAAGGCATCAAAACTATGAATTAACTAATTATGTACGTACTTAAAAAAAGTAAGAAACAACTGAAAATATGTCTCATATTCTAGATTCTTCAAAGTAGCACCTTTAGCTCTGATTACTGCTTCACACACTCTTGGCATTCTCTGGATGAGCTTCAAGAGGAATTCACCTGAAATGGTCTTCCAACATGCTTGAAGGAGTTGCCTTCAAGCTGCACTAACTGACTTTTCTTTTGTATTCATTACGAAAATGCAATCCATATCCATGCAGTGCATTGGGATATACGTCCTTTTGAAGAATAAGTAGTGCAGATTTGTGCTGGCGTGACATGTTATTTTAGATCAAGTTTTTGTGCAACAATAGAATGTGTTTCCGGTCTAGATTACAATACAATACAATACAATTTATTCTTGTATGGCCCTAAATTACAACAGCATCATCTCAGAGACTTAACAAAACCATTGAAATCACCAACACAGGTCAGAGAATCAACAGTTAAAACACATAAAGAATATAGAACACATGTTGATAAATGTCATACATGTTGTAGAATGTTAAAGTGTCCTGGATCATCACAGTCCTTCTAGTTGGACACTAACTGTCATACAAACACTAACACTCATAAAAAACCCAGTGGGAAAAAAGTGATAAACCTCAAGTAGACCCATATTGAGAAAGGGATCCGCTCCCATGGACGGACAGGCTAATGATCCAGGACCGAAGCTACAGGACGTGGACCAGTGGCCGCTGGACGTGGACAGGTCCGGTGCAGGACTGAAGCACTCCCAGGCGGGAGCCAATCACAGTGGACCACTGGCCCCCACTTTCTTGAGAAAAGCCACAGGTCTGTGGTTAGCACAGACAGCTTAGGTAAACAAGCGGCGGAGGCTAACCTGAAACTTCCCGTGTCTTCGTTACCGGTTACTGCTTACTCAGCGAAACAGCCAAAAGAAAGTCTCGTTCCTCCGCGCTTCCCAGTTCTATCGTTCTATGGTCACGCCATCCACGTGCAAATGTGCAATCCATATTGTGAGACGTGAGCTCCGTATGCAATTAGCTAGCATGTGAGCACAGGCTGAGGGGGAGGGGGTAGTGGGGGGTGAAAGCTCTGTGCGGGAGGGCGAGCAAGAAGAGTGAGCTCACCTCTCACACTCGGACATTTCTCAAAGTCAGTTAGAGCAGCTTTCACTCTGTGGTCCAGCTCACCCTAAACCATCTGGATTGGGTTCAGGTCCGGTGACTGTGGTCAGGTCATCTGGCCCAGAACCTAATAACGCTCCTTCTTTTTTGTGTAATATATACTGTAGGCCTTTATACAAAGGCCTATATATTACACAATTTACATGTAAAGAAAAAAAGGCTTAGCAAACAGTGCATCTAGCAACACATTGCAAGTGAACTTTAGTATCGGCGGCACGGCGGCTGAGTGGATAGCACTCTCGCCTCTCAGCAAGAAGGTCCTGGGTTCGAATCCCGGTCGGACCAGGGCCTTTCTGAGTGGAGTTTGCATGTTCTCCCTGTGTCTGCGTAGGTTTCCTCCGGGTACTCCGGTTTCCCCTACCGCTAAAAATATGTAAAATAGTTCTGGCATGTGCCTCCTGTACTGGCCCCTCCCATCTCTGTGTGGAGTGAGAGACAAGTGCCCAAAAAAAATAATAACAATTGTAAACCGCTTTGAGACTCAGCTCTGCAGTGAAAAGGCGGTATATAAATAATTACTTACTTACTAGTATTGGGTGCTGCAAGGTATCTTTCCATCGGGACAGGGGCCCTCATGCTCTGGACTTTAGGGACCGCTGGTTGTTGGGAAACACTGATGTATAGAAACCCCAATGCTATGTCAGATGGGCAGACTGAACAACAAGATTTCAAGCAATTTTAAACTATTGTTTGGGTAATTATATGTGGAATGAAACTGTTTTACAAGTCTTTCCAGAAAATCTGAGCGTAGAGAACATGTGTTTATTTACCATTAAAGCATGTATTTCCTTTTCAGCACAAAGCCCATATAACGATCAGCAGTTACCCTTTGGCTGCATCTCAGAGAATGAATGCAGAAACAGCAGTTCATTTCTTCCTTACGGACTCCACAATGTTTCCTGCTGCAACACTTCCCACTGTAATATCCCAGGTCTGATCTTTGTTCTTATTCTCTCAATCAGGGGTCACCAACCTTTTTAAATCAGAGGGCTACGTCAAGAAGACCAAATGGCTCGAGGGCTACTATATATTGTTGAATTCAAATTAATTGTGCATTGTGCAAATGGGTCAGCAATGTGTATTTGTACACAACCCCAGTAGTTCTTATTTTTATTTTGGATTAGGAAATTCAACTATATATTAAATTGAGTCTCTTAATCTAATATTTATGGTCACTATTACTGTTATCATGATTATGGTTAAATTTGGGGTACTCATTTACCACTAAAGATGAACTATAGTTCCTGGCTCTAAAACAGAGTAATTCTGTCAGTTTTCAGACTGTCAGTGTTTTGATAAAGTAAAGGATTTTTTTTTTTTACCTTCAAGGACACAAAAGAAAGGTCCAGTTACCTTAAAAGCCATTGGCTCAGTCCTGGCTCAGAACTGGTTTATTGCAGCTTTATTTATTAAACTTGAGGAAAGTGCATCATTCTTTTAAATCATTAATTGATACTTAAAATGTGGCGCATGTGTTTTCCACGCTCCTGTTGACAGGTGTTTCTCACTAATAAACCAGTCTTGAGCCGCTCATATCTCTGTGAATCCTGACTCTTTTTAGACGCTTTAAAGAAAGGTCAGACTCATCTGTCATGTAGACTGCATGTATCTGCTCTTGTGCAAACGCCAACCGCTGAGTGAAGGGGCAGAGACTGAAGACAGGATAAACAGGCTCCGGAGCAATACTATGTAGATCATGAGCTTCGCGGGCACTTTTGGTGGGCATCGGGTTGGTGACCCCTGCTCTAAATGTTGGGGATTCTGGACTGTATCGCGATTAATAGGGAGAGCCACAAATGTAAAGACGCAAGTACTGCTTAATTACCCGACATGTTTTGGCGGTAGACTGAACCTTCTAACCATTAAACATAAGACATTTAATTTTTACATTGAACCCCACTTTGCCTGGAGCTCCCCCTTAAAAGGACATTTTGTTCATTGCAGTTCATTTCACACGTTGTAATTAATATAAACCTCAGCCCTAACTGCACATTGTAATGTGTCAAAAATGTGTCCTGTATTTTTGTTCATTCATTCCCCCCCCCCCTCACTGCAATTGCTCTGTGCGCTCCCCACTTTGGGAACCACACAATATGTAATAGTACTGTCCCACAAATTCGTGGTGCGTTCTTGAACAACACATGTCCGTGCTCTGGAGAACTCCGAGCAAGACATGTTACAAACCCTTGTCTACAAGAAAGTGGGAGAGGGGGCTTCCATTTTGTGGCCGCAGTTAGAGGTCAGAGGTCATCATGCCCAAACTTAGCCGTGAGTCGTTTCAGGATGGTCCCCAGGTCAAAACAGAGGACCAGGCAACTCTATGTGGACTTGTTTGACGGGTATCCCTCATACTGAGGCCCTCAGTTTCTAATTATTTATCTCTAAATCATACAATGACCAAATCAAAGGTTCTCAAGATCTTAAGGACCAACAATAAAACAAATACATATTTTTACTGTCAAGTAACTGTAGATTCTCTCTTGCAGAGCTGGGTAAACCTATGTGCATGGCGTGCTCTGATGAAATGTGTTCATCTGAGCGTTTAGTTTTCTGCTCCAAGAACGCACCAATGTGTTACTCCCGCATCATCTACAACAACTACACAGGTAAATATGCTGCACTTTTCCACTGTTGCAAAGGTGTTTTATTTTCACAATAGTAATCAGATTAAAGTCACCTCTTTTCTAACAATGCATTACTTGGGCATTAAAAGAGCAATATGTAAAAATCTGGCCAAAAGTGGTACTGCAGTCACAGTCCATATTGTGTAGTCCTCTCCCTGACTCAGGTTGCCAGATACACACCAAATCCAGCAGCAAACACAGGGAATTATTTGTGAATTATTTATTTTGTTTAAACATTCATTTAATGAATGTGTTATTTTTATTTTTTATTTGGACATTTGAGAAAAAAAACAAAAAACAAAATACAAGCAATGTCACTTTATATAGATTATACAAAATAAAAAAGCAATTGATGTCCAAAATAGGAGTGGGAAGAATGGATGTTGGAACATATTTCTTCAGGGTTTCCTCCAGAGGATATTACCTTCAATTTAATTTATTCTATATTCTTTAAACATGTATAAGTCCCACATCAAAAAGAGACATTATTGTAATTGGGTACATGTGGTCTCAAATGATTATTTTTACAATTAAGCTATAATCTGCAAAAGACGCCTTGATCTTTGTCTTTTACAGTTTTTAGAGTAATCTGTCATGGAAAGTGTTATTATGCAAATAAATACGAACAGACCCTGCCCATATTCAAATCTGGGTCGCTGGAATGAAAGCTCAAAGGCTTAACCACTGGACCACCATTACACACAACAGAAAGTACTGTGGATGCAGCTAATATAACTGCAATGAAGAACGCACTCACACCAGCAAGTTGCATCTCACGAAACGTTTTATCAGCTGTCTCAATTGTTCAAAGGCGTCCCGATATAAATCCTTGTTCTAGTCTTTGAAATGTGTATATATATATATATATATATATATATATATATATATATATATATATATATATATATATATATATATATATATATATATATATATATATATATATATATATATATTCTGGAAAAAAGCTGGATTTGAACTTACAGTTTTTCACACCAGAGTCAAACGCTTACCACATGTGTCACACTCCAACACCAATGAGTGAAACTTAGTTTTGGTTAATCGTTTGTAGTTTCATAGTTTAAGATATTTTACTGAGGCGCAGGCAAGCTGCCAGCAGCCTGTTGCATCGCGCTCCCCCTCTTTTTGCTCCTTTTTCACTTTTTACGCTTGATTTTGTAAATATTTTTGAACACATAGCTACATGAGGCTAATGCACAGTAGAGGGAAGAGTCTTTTCCAACTTTCTCCGTGTTTTTGGGACTGGTTTGGACACTATGTGTCTGAGCTGCCCGAGTGTGCCCCGAGTGCCCCGCGCCCATTGTCTCGTACTCCAGGGAGAGCTTACTAGCGCTGCGAGGCCGCGTAGTGCTCCCGGAGGACAGACACAACATCCCGGACGAGCTGCTGCTAAAGACGTGCAGGAGCCGCCGCGCTGGGCAGAAAGTACGAGGGAGAAGGCGATGATCCAGACCCGCTCTGCCCTCCGTGACCACCGGGAACGTGCGCTCGATGACCAACAAGGCAGACGAGCTGGCCAGCCTGACGCGTTATCAGAGGGAATACAAACACTGCAGCCTCCAGATCTACACGGAGACATGGCTGACCTCTGATAATCCGGACTCTAATGTGATCATGGCTGACCTCTGATAATCCGGACTCTAATGTGATCATGGCTGACCTCTGATAATCCGGACTCTAATGTGATCATGGCTGACCTCTGATAATCCGGACTCTAATGTGGACATGGCTGATAATCCGGACTCTAATGTGGACATGGCTGACCTCTGATAATCCGGACTCTAATGTGGAAACCGGACAGGCGCGAGTGGGAAGAGGAGAGGCGGGGGTCTGGCTGTGTTTGTGAATACAGACTACTGCAAGCCAAAGCACTGCACAGTGAAGAGACAGGTTTGTTGCATAGACATTGAGCTTTTGGTTATTGGCATGCGTCCATACTATCTGCCACGGGAGTATAGTCACGTTATTGTTACAGCAGTGTATATACCTCCCTCGGCCAAAGCTGACAATGCATGTGAGAGCCTCTTTTCCACCATGAGCAGTCTACAAACACAGCACCCACAGGCCCTGTTTATCATCACAGGGGATTTTAATCATGCCTCTCCAGCCTCTACTCTCCCGTCCTTCTCCCAATACATCACCTTTCCCACACGAGGCAGTAAGACATTGGATTTATTCTTTGTTAATGTGAAGGATGCCTACACCGCGTCTGCCCTTCCCCCCCTGGGCAGAGCCGACCACAACATTGTCCATCTACGGCCCATTTATGAGCCGGTTGTGCGTAGGCATCCTGCTGTCTCACGTGTGGTGAAGTTGTGGAACGTGGACACAGAGGAGGCCCTCAGAGACTGTTTCGACACAACGCTGTGGAACGAGCTCTGTGACCCACACGGGGAGGACATTAATGCCACGACAGAGTGTGTCACGGACTACATTAACTTTTGCTTTGAGAACACTGTACCTGCCCGCACTGTACGGTGTTTCCCAAACAATAAGCTGTGGATCAACCCTGACATCAAAGCTCTGCTTAAGGACAAAAAGCGGGCTTTTAAGTCAGGGGATAAGGAAGCCCTTAAATCTGCGCAAAGGAAGTTGAAGTGGAATATACGCGCAGCTAAAAACATCTACAGGAGGAAGATGGAGGAGCAACTGGCTCGGCAGGACGTGCGGGGGGTGTGGAGAGGCCTCAAATCCATGTCAGGCTTCAAAACACCCCCCCAGTAAGTCCACAGGAGACCAGCTGTGGGCAAACGAGCTAAACACATTCTTGGCTCGCTTTGACCAGCCTTCCCCTCCCCCTGCGCAGACGCTCCCCCTCACTCCGGCAGCGGAACAAAGGGCAACACCTACAATCGTTCACACCTCTGTCATGGCACCACAGTCTTCCTCCCACGGCCCCACCAGCCCTCCCAGAGACACTCCCCCCCCCACCACTGAGCCCCCGTCCTCCCTACTCAGCACCCACTCCACCCAGCCCCCCTGCACCCCCTGTCAGTCACCGCTGCTCAGGTGAGGACAGAGAGGATAAAGACCAGAAAGGCACCAGGACCAGATAACATCAGCTCCAGGCTCCTTCGCTCCTGTGCAGACGAACTCTGTGGAGTGATGGAGCGCGTCTTCAACCTGAGCCTCAAGCTGAGGGCGGTACCGCAGCTTTGGAAGACCTCCTGTGTGGTACCGGTGCCCAAGAAACCACGGGCCAAAGACCTCAGCGACTTCAGGCCAGTGGCTCTAACATCCCACTGCATGAAGACACTGGAGAGACTGGTCCTGGGACATCTCCGCTCCACTCTGAGCCCAGCGATGGACCCGCTGCAGTTCGCCTACAGGCCGGGCATCGGAGTCGAGGACGCCATCATCTCCCTCCTCCATTGCTCGCTGTCCCACCTTGAGAAACCCGGCTCCACTGTGAGGATCCTCTTCTTTGATTTCTCCAGTGCCTTCAACACCATCCAGCCGCAGCTTCTCAGGGACAAGCTGGAGACAGCTGGAGTGGACTACGACCTGTCGGAGTGGATCCTGGACTACCTCACAGACAGACCCCAGTTTGTGAGAACCAGGGACTACGTGTCGGAGGTCCTGACCTGCAGTGTGGGGGCCCCCCAGGGAACTGTCATCGAGCCGTTCCTCTTCACCCTCTACACTGTGGACTTCAGACACAACACGGACGGTTGTGTTCTACAGAAGTTCTCTGACGACTCTGCCATCATCGGACTCAGCTCCGAGGACGATGACACAGAGTACAGAGGAGTTATACAGGACTTTGTGGACTGGTGTCAGCGGAACCACCTCCTCATCAACGTGAGGAAGACCAAGGAGATGAACCACCTCCTCATCAACGTGAGGAAGACCAAGGAGATGAACCACCTCCTCATCAACGTGAGGAAGACCAAGGAGATGAACCACCTCCTCATCAACGTGATGAAGACCAAGGAGATGAACCACCTCCTCATCAACGTGAGGAAGACCAAGGAGATGAACCACCTCCTCATCAACGCAGGGAAGACCAAGGAGATGAACCACCTCCTCATCAACGTGAGGAAGACTAAGGAGATGGTGGTGGATTTCCGTAGACGTCACTCTGCCGCTCCAGCCCCAGTGAACATCCAGGGAAAGGGAATTGAGACAATGGACTCTTACAAGTACCTGGGTGTTCATCTGAACCACAAACTGGACTGGACTCATAACACAGACGCCCTCTTCAAGAAGGGCCAGAGTCGCCTCTACCTACTGAGGAGGCTCAGGTCTTTTGGAGTGCAGGGGCCACTCCTGAAGACCTTCTATGACTCTGTGGTGGCATCAGCCTCTTGTACGGTGTGGTCTGCTGGAACAGCAGCATCACAGAGAGGGAAGAAGCTGGAACATCAGGAAGTCCAGCTCAGTCCTGGGCTGTTCCCTGGACACAGTGCAGCAGGTGGGGGACAGGAGGGTCCTGAGCAAACTAACATCTATGCTGGACCATGACTGTCGCCCCCTGCAGGACACTCTCTCTGCTCTGGAGAGCAGCTTCAGTGACAGACTAATTCACCCTCGCTGTGTGAAGGAGAGGTTTCGCAGGTCTTTCCTTCCTGCTGCTGTCAGACTGTACGACGAGAATGTGTAACAGGAACTGCTGAGTCAGCACAAGTGTTTCTGATAACTCACTAGTCACTTTACCTGTTATCAGTACTACTACAGTACTACATATCTGATATTTACTGTTATCAGTACTACTGTATTATTTCATATCTGATAATTCTGCCTTCCACCGTCACTTTACCTGTTGATATCTTACTGTATTATTCATATCCATCTGATAATTCTCCCATTCAAGTCACTTTACCTGTTGATATTATTTCTGATGTTTATTCTGCTCATATTCTCATATTCTCCGCTGCTAATGTATAATATAGACATCTGTAAATACTTCCGAACCAAGTGCAATTATAGCCCAGAGTTTATCTTATTTTATTTTATCTTAAATTTATTGTCTATTATCTTAAATAATAGACTTTGATGTGTGCAATCTGAGTGCTCTTATTTCCTTTCTCTGCTGTAATGTGCAACGATGACACTGACATTTCTCCACTGTGAGACTAATAAAGGTTTATCTTATCTTACTTTCATACAGGCATTTGGAACACCGTGAAAACTAGAAAGATAAAGGAGGAGAGTAAATGTCCATACAGTAAATCACACAATAAGTATCAGAAATAAAAGTATCTCAAAATAAAAGACACAATGAAATAAAAAGGTTACCGTGGGCGCCTTAGTAGACCAATCGTAGAATAATACTCTTTCCAAGCTGCAAAAACGTCTCTTTATAACAGCATACTTTAAAATACTTCTCCGTTTCTTCTTTGAGAAGCAAACTTAAACGGCCGCAAAAATGATCTGAGTTGCTATGGCAACCAAAGCGTCAGTTATACTCAGCTATAACTTGAGTTGTCATGGTAACCTTAGCGCCAGTTACAATCCGCTCCCACAGACGGATGGGTTAATGATCCAGGACCTAAGCGTGGCCCCTGAGCCGGGGCCACGCAGCGGCCGCAGAATGTGGACAGGTCCGGTACGGGACTGAAACAGCTCCCAGGCAGGTCGGGCAGGGCAGTCCACAGGTGTAGATTGAGGAGATTGTTGTCGCATCATGAAACAGACACAATAGGACAACGGGTGAATAGCAATGAACAGACTACAGTCAAAATCCTAATAATGTAGATGGATAAAGTAGGAAGGAGGAGAGGATAGTGCTCAAGTTACCATACTTATCCCAGCAAACTGACTTTCTATGCAGCTTGACCGACAGCCTGAGGAGTTTATCCTTCCCTGAGTCTTACCGTTCTAACCATATGCTACACTAAGAGGACTGTTTTAGTCTAGCCTAGAACAGAAGGTTGAAGATGCAGCGGACCGGGTCCCATACAAGCAGACTCCAAGACCAGACGAGACCTGACCGGACAAACAACGTAATCATATTCTAAATTGATTGTCTTTAGCAGATTGGATTATTGCAATGGTATTTTTACAGGGCTCAGCAAAAAATCCTACGACAGCTGCAGCTGATCCTACTCAAATGTTTAAATGTTTTTGTATTTGTGAGTCCTTACAAATACAAAAACATGAGATCATATCACATCAGTTTTACAATCTTTACCCTGACTTCCAGTCTGTTATAGAAGAGACTTTAAAGTAGTACTAGAATGTAATATGCTGCTATCCAGAATATATAACTACAATATGTGTTTATAATATTTCGGGTGTTCATTTTGACATGTTCAGATGAATTATGTTAAAAAAACGGCTTTGAAGTGGCACCTTTTCACTTCCGCATAGAAACACTAGAGGGCGCCAAAATGGCGGCGATGACGTAGGAGAAGGACCTCTCACAGCAGCAGCAGCAGTCTGGGCTGAATCTGTAGGAGGTTTCACTCTCATCTGAACAAGGTATAAACATATTTTCATCCGTTTTGTACATAATAGTGTGCAACTCTTTTAACCTTTTAGCCTTATTTGTGAGATTCAAGCTAATTAGTGTTGGGCAAGTTAGCTAACTCTACTTGATATCATAAAACATGCTAACAAGGCTAATATTCGTTTTTACATTATGCCAGTCTCACTTTGCTTTAGATTTATTTACCACAATGTACATTGTAATATCCATAAATGTTAATCAAAATAACTTGAATTAAATAAATATTTTACTTTTATGAACAAAAAGCTGCAGAAGTTGAAAACATAGACTACATGTGATGCAATCATTGATAAAAATGCTAATTAAACCGTTAATAGGTGTTAGCATTTATGGATATTATTGGGGCGACAGTAGCTCAGTTGGTAGAGCATTGGCCTTTGAGCCTGAAGGTTGTGGGTTCAAGCCCACCATAAGACCTACTTCACGACTCCCACTGATGTCTGCTGTCGTTGTGTCCTTGGGCAAGACACTTAACCCCACTTTGCCTGAAGCCCCCACTGAAAGATCTCAGCTCCTGTGGACTCAGCACCTGCAGGAGGATCAGTGAGGGGCTGGTGCTCTGTGACTGGGTGCAGCTCTGACTGCCACCCCCAACCCAGAAATGGATTAAGGGGAAGAAAATGGATGGATGGATTAGTACAATGTACATTGTGGTAAATAAATCTATAAGGCAACCAAAGTGAGACTGGCATAATGTAAAAACAAATATTAGCCTTGTTAGCATGTTTTATGAAATCAAGTAGAGCAGGGGTGCTCAATACGTCGATCGCGATCTACCAGTCGATCGCAAAGGTAGTATTGGTAGATCGCATTAAATAAATAAAAAAAAATCACATTCTAAACAAATATATACAAAAAACTCCGGGCAAAGTGGAGATTTTTGAAAACTCCCGTTAATGCATTTGCGTGTAGCCAGAGATGACCGGAGTTTTGCGTTCTCGCACGCCACAGTACTCCCCTAAATCCCTCTGATCACTGAAGCATGGATCATACTACCTTAAAAACTGTTCGCTGTGAGATGTTTCACTGACACTTAGGTGACTGCACATGTGTGTTTTACTCAGTAATGTTTTACTGACACTTAGGTGACTGCACATGTGTGTTTTACTCAGTAATGTTTTACTGACACTTAGGAGACTGCACATGTGTGTTTTACTCAGTAATGTTTTACTGACACTTAGGAGACTGCACATGTGTGTTTTACTCAGTAATGTTTTACTGACACTTAGGTGACTGCACATGTGTGTTTTACTCAGTAATGTTTTACTGATACTTAGGTAGACTGCACTGCACATGTGTGTTTTACTCAGTAATGTTTTACTGACACTTAGGTGACTGCACATGTGTGTTTTACTCAGTAATGTTTTACTGACACTTAGGAGACTGCACATGTGTGTTTTACTCAGTAATGTTTTACTGACACACTTAGGAGACTGCCCTGCATGTATTTGAACTTGATACTCCGAGACTTCTCCTCTCTCGACTTCCGTCAATAGAAGCAGCGTGACTTGTAGACACACAGTACAGCGAGAGAGAAAGTCCCTGAGAGAAGTTAGTGCGCGGACGTAGCGCTCCGCAGATTACTACGCCTCACAATATAGTAACCCGTTTTATTCCGGCTGAGAAAATCGACAGTTACATTTCTGTGTTACGATACTTTGCAGTGTAACACGTGCACGTAACTAAATACATTTAATAGGGAAACTTTGAAGAGTTTGGTAGCTTCTAGCGGGAGCTACTTTTGGACCTACACAGTATACAGAGGAGTCTGCGTTTGTGCTCCCTTTTTGCTCCGTTTGCATGACAAGCGCGACGGACTAAGACCAACAGGTTACATATTAACTAGTCAAAGGTAAGGTAAGAACATTATGTCAGTATGTAAAAACGGTGAACTATCCTTTAAAGGCTTTGCTCTGAAACCTGAGCTCAGGCTGAAGAACATAAAGAAGAGACGTAGAGTGAAGACCAATATGAGCATGTCCCAGGTGTCTGTCTCCAACACACAGTGAAGTAGAGGAGAACATGGACCATAGGGACAGACGGACCAGACAGATGGATAGACAGACAATACAGTGAGAGTAAAAAGTATTTGATCCCTTGCTGATTTTGTTGGTTTTGCCCACTAATAAAGACATGATAATTCTATACTTTTGATGGTAGATGCATTTAAACATGGTGAGCATAAAATAGGTATAGAAGAATGAATATATTTCACTTCATTTTGTTTTTCATTGAGGGAAAAAAGTATTTGAATCCTCCTAATTTCTGGCTTTCACAAGCAGTTTAGACACTACCAACACCTTCGGATTGAAGACTGAGATGAAGACACCTGTTTCCCAACTAATCACCTGTATAAAAGACATCGCCAATACACAGATCAGACGGTTCCAAGCTCTCAAACATGGGTAAGACAAAAGAATTCTCTCAGGACCTCATAAGAAGGAGCCAGGATGTGTTGACCTCCACAAATCTGGAATGGGCTAACAAAAGCTTAGCAAGAATGCGGGAATCATAGTAACAACCTTGGTGCAACTGTTAGAAAAAATTGAAAAGTATAACATGACTATCAACAGACGCCCGATCTGGGTGCAATGATCAAGAGCACTGTGAGAAATTCTGCCTGCAACACTCAGCAGGAGTTAGTGAAATGACCTCAGGCAGCTGGGACCACAGTCACCAGAAAACATTTGGCCAACACTTTTGCGACGGAATGGGTTACAACCTGTGGAGGCCCCCCTAAGTACGCCAATGCATCACCTCATAGATGCACAAAGTGATTGGAGAAGGTTCTATGGTCACGACGAGGGACCAAAATTGAACTATTTGGCCTAAACTCTACACGCTGTGTGGTGGGAAAGAAAAATGCTGCCTATGACCAGAAGAACACTGAGTTCCACCAACAAGCATGGAGGTGGAAACATTATGTTTTTGGGGTGTTTCTCTGCCAAGGGCACAGGGCTACTACACGCATCATTGGGCAGATGGAAGGAGCCATGTACCGAGCAGTCTTGAGGGACAACCTCCTCCCCCTCTGCCAGTAAGCTGACAATGGCCTGGTTGGTCTTCCATCATGACAACGATCCAAAGCATACAGCAAAAGGCAACAAAGGAGTGGCTCAAGAAGAAACCATATTAAGGTCATGGAGTGGCCCCACCAGTCCCTCCCGGACCTCAATCCTATTGAAAATCAATGAGGGAGCTGAAGGTCCGAGTTTGCCAAGCGCAGCCCACCAACCTGAATGATTTCGAGAGGATCTGCAAAGAAGAGTGGCCAATATACCCCCTGATATTGTGCTAACCTTGTGGTTAACTAACCACAAACGCTGACCGCTTGGTGCTTGCAAACAAAGGCTTTGCCACCACGTATTAACTGCTTTTGTCTAGAGGGATCAAATACTTATTTCCCTCACTGAAACACAAAAGAAATAAAATATATTCATTGAAAGTTATTTTCCTGGATTTTCGTTTGATATGTCAGTCTCACCATGTTAGCATACTCTACCATTAAAAGTATAGAATGATCATGTCCTTTATTAGTGGCAAACCAACAAATTCAGCAAGGACAAATACTTTTTACTCTCACTGTAGATAGTTCTTGGAGAAATTCAGGTGGGGGAGGGGGGGGGGGGGGGGGGGGGGGGGGGGGGGGGGGGGGGGGGGGGGGGGGGGGGGGGGGGGGGGGGGTGCAGGCAGAAGAAACAATCAAATACATTTAATACATCATTCTAAAAAGTGGACTAACAATAGTAACCAAGTGCTTCAGGTCACAGCAGCAGAGGTGTTGAAGCCGCTGGTGCTGAGCTGCTTCCGCTGGTTGATGTTTGCAGAGTCTGCTTGATTCAGACCAGTTTTCTCTGCTCTGGTACAGAGTGAAATTCCAAAAGCTTATTACATCTCTCCATGGATTTCCGGCTTGATCTGCTTGGTTGGGAGTATGCTCTCGCTCTGGTCAGAACAGTGTAAAACCATGAACTCTGTACTGCAGTAACATTATACACATGAAAAAAGAAAAAAAAAATAACAATTGTAAAACAAAAAACACCAACGTTTTTAGAGCGACTCAGAAATTGGCGGTCGTGTCCAAGTGCATTCAAACTAAAGAATATTGAATATGTTAAACCTGGTTTCTAACTGAACACTTGTTGTTGCTCTCAGTTCCTCCTTTCTGAGACCAGCATCAGTGACATCACACAGTACTATGATAGTTTTCTCCAGTCCATTTATTGACTTGAGTTTTTTAATACACCAACACCCTCTGTGATTCACATTAGCATTGTGGTGCACATATGTGGCCTCCTCTGTGTTTCACACACTAATCAACGGCCTCTTCTTGCTGATCTTGGGAAAAAAGAAAAAGAAAAAAAAAAAAAAACAACTTGATCCATGGACGCTATTTCCCATCAACTTCTCTGCTACAGAACATCCACAGTGACTAGGGTCGGATCCAGAGCTGCCTCCCAGACCTTCAAAGCATGTACACTGGCACCGAGGACCCTTGGTTTCGTTCAGATCGTTTCCTGTTTATATTATTAATCTCAGTAGAAGAACTGAGATTGTTCAGAGACTGAATGTGGAGGAGCAGAGCGGTGAGTACCCACTTACTACGAAAACAACTAAAACTCAAGTTCATGTAGATGTTATAACTCTTCTCGTTTTTCTTGTCATATCTCAAGCTTAAAGGTGTCACACATTAATTACGTTATTTCACTATTTCACGTAATTTAGGTGAAGGGTAGGTTACCATCTTAATTTATTTTGGAAAAACGTATATTGAGTGATAGCTATTACTGTATGTATGTCGTCGTAGTAATTTAATCCAAAGTATTTATAACAAGAAGGAGGGGGAACCCTGAAAATATTGATGTTATCTTTAGTGTATGTGCTCATCTTTTAGCATCTGCAGCTAAATCCATAAATATATAGATTATCCATTTTTCATAGTAGTTTATTTATTCGCCTTTATTGAACATTATATGTTAGACCACATGTTTCAAGATCTTTTACAACTTACAAAAAGAAAAAAAATTAACTAAATCAGGGACTACAAAAAGTGAGGTAAACAAGCCACATTTTTTTTTATCTATGAAATCCGAGCAAATTCTGACTACTTACTGTTAGACCAAGATTTGCCAATGGGACACCTTTGGAATGAAAAAATAAAGTAACCATTCTTGAAATCATACTAAAGGGTTTTGTCCCATTGGAGAATTTTGCTTACACAGTCCAATGATATTCTCAGATTAAGATAAAAACAACTCGATTTGAATGCGATTATTTCCCTATAATTTGATTGTATTGTGAACAGAATTGCAAACAATCATTGGGATATTGATTCCCATTCATTCAAATAGGAGAGACCAGTGTGAAGTTTGCAGATGAGAAAAGGACTGAGGGCCCAAACGAGAATCAATTGGGTCGTATGTAGCCCCAGGCGCAAGTTGCACAGGCATAGTGCAGGGTTAGGTCAGGTAAAGAATCGCATTAAAAAGGTTAGGAATGGGAAAAGACTGGGGTTAGGATTCATGATCCTGGACACTTAGTTACTTGCTCTATCAGATCTGCTAGTATAAATAATGAACCAAGCTTAATAGTCATTAGAACTAGAACCAATTCATACCAGATTGTTTTTTTATATGTTGTAATAATATGTTCCTGTCTGTCTGTTTGTCTCTCGCAGGATGACGTCCGATGAGGCCGTCTCACACTTCTGCTCTGGCGCTTCTCCCTCGCCCCACTCTCTTTTAACTCTTTAAAGAACCTGCACTATAGACTTCTACGATCACGGTCAAGTATTTTGCGACGACAGCAGGTTCAACCCCCCGCCCATAACCCCAAGGCCTTCGCCCAAACCACCACTGTTCCTCTCCGCGATCAAAAACCACATCACGAGAATCACACAGTCAGATTCAAAGGCTTTAACCAAACTTGAGAAGATATCGCTTGGTCAAAATAGCATTGAATGAAACTTGGTTTGAATAACAACACTTTACAAGCTGAAGTCGACTCATGTTTGAATGATTATCCAATTTAAAGGTTGCTAACACTTGCAGAAAACCATATTGCATACCATTTTCAGCACTGGCGTTCGAGCCTTTAGGGAAACTGCAGACTTTGATCTGTCCCGTGAATGCTGAAGAGACAGCCACGTTGTTAACTTAGATCTTTCCGTGTCCAGCGTAGATGCATTTAGATCTCTCGTATAACTCGATCCGTTCTTTCGAAACACCTGATTTTCCTTTTCCCTGCTCAACCTCTCAATGTAGAACCTGACTCAGACAATCTACAAAATCTCAGTGTTCTGTTCAGAAGTCTCCCTCGGTTAGAAAGTCTCAGTTTGACCGGGTTTGCTTGTAGATTTGAAGGGGACGTTTCTGATCAAATGTAGAGACATTGAAGACTTTAGGTGATTGGTTTTAAGCCTTGAGACGGATTTAACAGAAGACTATCGGTCTTCATTCACTCGAGAATCTTGGTTTAGATAATCAGGAAACATTTCGACGCAAGTGTGTTTTGAATTTGCTTTGTGTAGTTCCAACGTTGCAAAGTTTAAGCTTAAGACAACTGGAGAATTTTCATCAATCAATGACTCTTATCTACAGCCGAGTTTCCAACCTCACTGATCTCGTACTCTCTGTCAATTCGCTACAGACCGTATCCAACTTTGCATTAGGAATGATGTGCGACTAAATCGGTTAAACATAGAGCGGAACAAACTGAAATCAGTCCCACCAGCTATCAGAAAATGTTCCACTCTCACACATGTCTCGTATCCAATCAAACCAAATCTTTAACTCCAATGTGAAGAACTCTCTATTGTTACAGTCATTAATAGAATCAACCGCAATTCCAATAAACTTACCGTTCTCAAGGGCTGCAGCTTTAGGGATCTGGAGTCTTAAAAGTTCTACTGCTGTCAGACTCTTAGTACTGCAGTCAGACTCTTAGTACTGCTGTCAGACTCTTAGTACTGCAGTTATACTCTTATTACTGCAGTTATTCTCTTAGTACTGCTGTCAGACTCTTAGTACTGCAGTCAGACTCTTAGTACTGCTGTCAGACTCTTAGTACTGCAGTTATACTCTTATTACTGCAGTTATTCTCTTAGTACTGCAGTCAGACTCTTGGATTTATTTTTCTCTTTACGTCGACAGAACCATCTTCAAGACCCAGCACTTCCTCCGACTTAAGTTTCCCGGAGGATTCTGAAATGTCACATTCTGAAGGTGAGGGACATTTCTACTGTTTATCATGGACCAATCACATGTTCTCTCCTTCTGCATCAGTTTATCATGGACCAATCACATGTTCTCTCCTTCTGCATCAGTTTATCATGGACCAATCACATGTTCTCTCCTTCTGCATAAGTTTATCATGGACCAATCACACGTTCTCTCCTTCTGCATCAGTTTATCATGGACAAATCACATGTTCTCTCCTTCTGCATCAGTTTATCATGGACCAATCACATGGTCTCTCCTTCTGCATCAGTTTATCATGTACCAATCACATGGTCTCTCCTTCTGCATCAGTTTATCATGGACCAATCACATGTTCTCTCCTTCTGCATCAGTTTATCATGAACCAATCACATGTTCTCTCCTTCTGCATCAGTCTATTATGGACCAATCACATGTTCTCTCCTTCTGCATCAGTCTATTATGGACCAATCACATGTTCTCTTCTTCCGCATCAGTCTATTATGGACCAATCACATGTTCTCTTCTTCTGCATCAGTCTATTATGGACCAATCACATGTTCTCTCCTTCCGCATCAGTCTATTATGGACCAATCACATGTTCTCTCCTTCTGCATCAGTCTATTATGGACCAATCACATGTTCTCTTTCTTCTGCATCAGTCTATTATGGACCAATCACATGTTCTCTCCTTCTGCATCAGTCTATTATGGACCAATCACATGTTCTCTTCTTCTGCATCAGTCTATTATGGACCAATCACATGTTCTCTCCTTCTGCATCAGTCTATTATGGACCAATCACATGTTCTCTTCTTCTGCATCAGTCTATTATGGACCAATCACATGTTCTCTCCTTCTGCATCAGTCTATTATGGACCAATCACATGTTCTCTCCTTCTGCATCAGTCTAGTATGGACCAATCACATGTTCTCTCTTTCGAGTTCTTTCAGACATGATTGCTGTAAACCTTAGTTTGGTATCTGGCTGTCAATTTATTTTCAAGAATGCTTGTTATTGGCAGTTTTACAAAATTAATACACCTGCAGTAAATTGTTTTGCCAATAAACACATGGCACTGCACACTGGCGATGTTTAAGTCTGTTCATAGTAAACAATTTAAATAGTGCTGGTACATAACACACACGTTTGAGATAGTGAGAGTACCTCTGTTAACATATCCTTACCGTTAGCATTAAGTATACAAGAAAAACATATTGCCATCTGGTGGCTGAACTTGGTACTACATAATAGCCATGTCCCCAAAAGTCACAAATCACAAGAAAAAGGGAAAACTTTGAACATTTTGGTTCAAATTTTTTTGCTAGGTTTCCAGGCCCAAGAAAAAAAATTGGATATAGTTTCGGTGGCTCTACCTCTTCAGGAAAAACCAGGTCCCCATTTATCACCCTTGAATGTGTGTGTGTGTGTGTGTGTGTGTGTGTGTGTGTGTGTGTGTGTGTGTGTGTGTGTGTGTGTGTGTGTGTGTGTGTGTGTGTGTGTGTGTGTGTGTGTGTGTGTGTGAGTGAATGTGTGTGGTGTGTGTGTGCTCTCATGTTATCTCTCCCCCGCCCCACCTTTACGCTCTCCCCTCCTCTTGCTCAGTATGGATGTTATTACTCCTACTTTGAGTAAGTTTGGGTAAAGGTCTCCAGATTGTTCACCTGAACATACAAAGCCTTCTTAAAATGTATAATTTAAGAGCTTGTCTTGCATCTATTATTATTTTGTCTGAAACGTGTCTCTCCAAAAGTGTTACTGATAATATTATTCTTGACAATTACACACTGTATAGAGCCGATAGGCGTTCAAGAGGAAGTGGAGTTGCAATGTTTTTTCTCAACTTAAATCTCAACTCACTGTCATCTGATCCACCAGCACTTTATGAATTTATAACTGTTACTTTACATGAACACAAACAATTAACTGTTGGAAATATTTATAGACCCCCAAATTCCCCAAAATCAGAGTCACTTAAAAATGTACTCTCCACTCTGTCATCTTTAAATAATAATAATACTGAACTTAATG